GTTCCTAAAAAGGGTCTACAATACAATACAATATGTGGTCTTTTGTGATGAGCTTATTTCACTTAGCATAATATTTACAGGGCTTATCTATATCACGGCACGTATCAGTACTCTGTTCCTCTCTGTGGCTGCATAATACTCCATGATGTGGATATACCACATTTTATCTGGTCTTCAGATGATTTGGGTAAGTTTCCACGTTTTGGCTATTATGAATAACGCTGCTCTGTACGTTTGTGTACAAGTTTTTGGGTAGACACCTGTTTCTAGTCCTCTTGGGCGTCCACCTATGAGTAGAAATGCCAGGTCATGTGATGATTCTATATATAACTTTTTGAGAAATTACTAGACTGTTTTTCAAACCAGCTGCGCCATTTGCCATCCCCATCAGCAACGGATGAGTGTTTCAGTCTCTCAGTGTCCTTGCCAGTCATTGTTGCCTGTCTTTTAAATGTTATTCATTCTAGCAGGTTTGAAGCCGTATCGCATTGTGATTTTGCTTTGCATTTACCTTTTGACCTGTTGATGTTGAGTATCGTCTCACGTGCTCATTGACCATTTGTAGATCGTCTTTGCAGAAATATCTATTTCTTTTGCCCACTTTTAAATTGGTGTAGTTGTCTTTTTATTACTGAGTTGTAAAATTTCTTTATACATTCCGGATACCAGCTTTTATCAGATACATAATTTGCAGGTACAGCTGGGTCCCACATCTATGGAGATGGAGGACCAGCTGCTGTGCCATTTTATGTGAGGAACTTGAGCATCTGTGGATTTTATATGGTGGGGAGGATCCTGGAACCAGGCCCCTGTGGATATTGAGGGATGACCGTATTCTCCCACTTTGCAGTTGTCTTTGCTTTCTTTTTTGTTTGCAATAATTAGGTTTATTCATTTATTTATTTTTAAAGGACGTACTGGGGACTGAACCCAGGACCTTGTGCATGCTAAGCACATGTTCTACCACCGAGCTATACCCTCCCCCATCTTTGCTTTCTTGGTGATGCACTTTGAAACATAGATGTTTTTATTTTTGAAAAGTCTAGTTAATCTAGTTTTCTTACGTTGTTTGTGCTTCTGGTGTTTAATCAAAGAAGGCTTTGCCTAAC